GGGGGGGCAGCAGGGGTTTGAGCGCACGAGGAGGATGGGGAGCGGGGGTGGGGGGTGCACGGCTGCCCACCCTCTCGCCTGCCTGCCGCTGCGCCTTCACCGGCTCTCACACGACCCAGCACACCTCCACCCTCCCTCCTCCTTTCCCTGCGTAACGCACACCTGGCGCCAACCTTCCCCCCCCCTTCCTCCAATGTATCAACACATAAGGAGGAGGAGTTCCTGAAGCGGTACATCGAGTACGTGCGTGCCTCGTGCTCGCCGCGCATCACCGACTCGGCCGCCCGCCTGCTGGCCAACGAGTACGTGGACCTGCGAGGGGAGGCGCAGCGCGCCGCCGGTGCCGAGGGCGCCGACGTCCCCGCCATCCCCATCACCGTGCGCCAGCTGGAGGCCATCGTGCGCGTGTCGGAGGCACTGGCCAAGATGGGGCTGCAGGCGGTGGCCGGCGAGACCCACGTCCGCGCCGCGCTGGAGCTGTTCAAGGCCTCCACCATGGACGCCGTCAAGTCCGGACTCATGGACACCCTGGTCTTCAGCGAGGAGCAGCGCGCCGAGGTGCACCGTGTGGAGGAGCAGATCAAGCGCCGAGTGGCCATCGGCTCCTTTGTCTCCGAGCGCAAGCTGCTGGACGAGCTCAGCAGGTTGGCGTTTATTTTTTTTGGGGGGGGGGCTTGCTTTTAGGGGGGGGGGTGTCTTGTTGTGAGGAGGTGGGTGAAAGGGAGGGGTGTGTGGACGCCTGGAGGTCAGACGAGTACGCCCGGGGGAGGCTGTGCGGGGCCTGGTAACGCAGGGGGGGGGTTCCAGGAAATCAGCCATGCAGTGCACCGCTCCCCGCTGTGGGGTGCGCTGCTGAAGCATGCTCGGTGCCCAGGGCGTCGCAGGTGGGTGGCACGCACTCCCGCCCCCCCCCGACCCCATCCCCTCCACGCATCCACAGGGTGGGGTTCAACGAGAATCTGGTGCGCAAGGGGCTGCTCTACCTGCAGAGCAACGGCACTCCCCCCCCCCCCCCACCCCATCCCCTCCACGCATCCACAGGGTGGGGTTCAACGAGAATCTGGTGCGCAAGGGGCTGCTCTACCTGCAGAGCAACGGCGACTTTGAGTATCGGCGAGAGCGGCGGCTGGTGCACCGCATGCGGTGACTTTTGCGATGGACCACCAGCCGACGTGCACCCCACACCCCTGCACCTGACTCCCAACCCCCACTCCCTGCTGCCTGTCTGACTGAACATTGAAGGGCGTAAACTCTCACCGGAACGGCACCAAGTCTCGATGGAAGAGGGATGCTCAGGAGCCCGGCTCCCCAGCGATGGGTGCTGATGGATGAGAATTCCACAGTGTTGAAACCAGCCCTGTCGCCTCCAGGGATACTCACACTCAGGCCGGCTTGGCCACGTCTGCCACCGTGGCGACGGCCTTGGCAAAGCTGTCCCCCGGGCTGATCTGGATGTGGGAGCTCACGATCTTCCCGCCCTTGGCGACGACGACGTGGGACCGAATCACGTTGCGCGGGGGCTTGAATGCGCCCAGGGCCTTGATGAACTGCAGGCGTGTGAGGAGACGCTTGGGCGTGAGGGGCGATCGCCATGGAGAGCCACTCAGGGTCGGGCAAAGCTGATCCCGGGTGTAGACACAGACTGCCAACCCTGCGTCAGGCCCCCCACCCCCCCCAAAAACCCATTTCCCGGCACAGGAGCCGTGCCCCGGTCTCACCCACCTCCCCGCTCTCGTCTGTCAGGAGGTGGTAAGGCAGGTCGTACTTGGTCTTCCAGGTCGTCTGGGACTTGGGCTTGTCGAAGCTGAGCCCGTAAACCTCAAACCCTGCATCCTGGAGGGTCTTGTGGTTCTCCTTGAACCCCAGTGCCTGCTTGGTGCAGCCCCCAGTATTTGCCTGCGTAGCGGATGGGAGGGCCAGAACACCTCGGTGACTGCCATGGCAGCAAATCGCGCAAAGTACCCAGCGACCTCACATTAGCCTCACTCTTGGGTAGAGGAAGATGACGACCCCCTGGTCCTTGGCAAGCTCCTGCAAAGTATGGGGAATTCCATGGGGGGTGGTATTGTCGTGACGAGACTCGCCACGGATTCCAAGTATCGCTGAGTTGTTGTGACGCAGCCCCTGCCCTCAAAACCTGTGATCCAGCCCCCATCCTGAGCCTACCTGGACGTCCACCTTGACATCATCCTCCCTGAGCAGCTTGAAACTGGGCAGAGAGTCACCCTCCTTCAGTTTCTTGCCCTTGCTGCTCGGCGCTGGCTTGTCCTCTACTGCCCTGGTCTCAGCCACATCAGCCTTCTTTCCGCTTGATCTAGGGCCCTTCTTGGGAGATACGGCGGCATCAGGGATCTGGGCTTCCAGATCACTTGCCGCCTCCACTTTACGTTTCCTAGTGGTGGCTCCCGTGCCTTCAGCCACGGGGGCGTTGGTCTTCGAGTCGGTCTTCGACTTGGCAGCGGGTTTCTTGGGTGCCATGGCGGCTTAAGCTAATCGATTACTGAGGTAAGTGTGCATTTGACGGATCTCTGATAACGGGACATTTGGCCGAGGTGATCGAAAGTGTTTGGTGGTACTTGTTGCAGAGGATTCTCCGAAAGCACGCATGGGATGAAGCACGCAGTTGTGCAGCGGCACAGACAACGAGATATGCCGTGCATGCTGATGCAATATGAAGTACAATGAGAATTATTCTTAAAGGTAGAATGCCCAAGTAACCATGTAGTTCCATGGCACTCGCCCACGCCAGTGTGGTGACCCGTCGAGCCTACCGGGTAAGCACCTTCGAAACAGGCGTGTGGAGCCGAAAACCTTCGAGGCCCCATGCAAGCATTACCAGATGCCCAGCAGCCCATGGCTCGGCGGTGGGCATCGATCTGGGGACCACCAACTCCGCCATTGCTGTGAGTCATGGTGGGGGAGGAGGTGCTGCAGCAAACCCTGCGGCTGCCACATGCCTGACAGCACAGTCGCCACTGGCATTCCACCCCTCTTGGCGCACAGATGCTTTCATGAGGCCACGGTGTCAATTGAAAGTGTCGCCCTCCTCTTCTCGCAGATCATAGTGGATGGAGCGCCCCAGGTGCTGCCCGTCGAGGGCGGCGAGCTCACCCTGCCGTCTGTCGTCGCATACAAGCCAGATGGCAGGATCCTGGTGGGCCGAGCCGCTCAGAGGTGAGCAGGGGGCTTGGATTGATGCCACAGCACGTGCAGGCCAGGGGCTTGGGCCTGGGTTCTCGCCGAGATGCTGGCACCTTCATGCGCCGCGGACTCTCCGCAGTGCAACCAAACATACCCTCCGCACCATGCCACTTCAATTTTATGTGCCCCTCCCATGTGCCCGACAGGTACGCGCTGTCGCACCCCTCCTCCGTGCTTTCCTCCACCAAGCGCCTGATGGGCAAGACCTGGGAGGCGGCAAACTCCGAGGCCGGCGCCGGCGCGACACTTCCCCACCCCGCCCTGACCGACGTGGACGGCTGGGCGGGTTTCCGGCTGCCCTCCGCGCCGCCCACCATGCCGCCGGCTGTGGCATCCGAGGTACTGCGAGCGCTGCTGGCGGCGGCCGCGCGCGCGACGGGCGGCGCGCCCCGCACCCGCGCCGTCATCTCCGTGCCCGCCTACTTTGACGAGGCCGCGCGCGCGGCCACGGTGGCCGCCGGCCGCGGCGCGGGCCTGGAAAGCGTGCGGCTCGTGCACGAGCCCGTTGCGGCGGGCTTGGCCTACGGCCTGGACCTGGGCCTGCAGCAGACGGTGCTGGTGGTGGACCTGGGCGGCGGCACGCTGGACGTCTCGCTACTGGAGGTCGGCGGCGGCGCGGTGGAGGTGCTGGCCACCGCGGGCGACCCCGCGCTGGGCGGCGACGACTGGGACGCCGAGCTGGCGGCGTGGCTGGCCGCGCAGGCGCGACGCGCGGGCGCGCGCCTCGACGCGGGCGACGCGGGCGTGCAGGCGCGGCTGCGCCGCGCGGCGCGGGCGGCCAAGGTCCGCCTGTCCTCCTGCCCCGCGGTGGACGTCGCCGTGCCGGGGGTGGAGGCGCGCTTCCGCCTCACCACCCAGGCCTTCGACAGCATGACCCGGCACCTGTACCGCCGTGCGCGCGAGACGCTGGACAAGGCCTGCTGGCAGGTGAGGGAGGGGCTGTTGGGGGGGGGACCAGGGGAATGGACGGGTCGGAAGTCACGGATGGCGACCCCAGGGGTATGGGAGCATTGCTGAGGTGTAACGATCGAATCGGCTCGCTGGACGGGCGGCGGGGTTGCACGCATGCTCGCACCTTGGCTGAGAAACAATGGAAAGCCTCGCGGAATTGTACGTACTTGTTGCAACCGCCAGGCGTCGCGGCTTTGCCCCTCAAAACTTTCCTACCCCCTGCTCCACCCCACTCAATCCAATCAGGCCGGCTTCGATCTGGAGGAGGTGCGCAGCGCGGCGCAGCACGCGCAGCGCAAGCCGCGACGGGGCGGGCGGGCGGGGCAGGCGGGCGGGGCGGGGCTGCAGCCCAGGGGGGCGCACGCGCCCGTGACCCAGGTGCTGCTGGTGGGAGGGGCCACACGCATGCCGGGCCTGCGCCGCTTCGTGAAGAACATGACCGGGCTGGAGGCGGAGGAGCAGGCTGTAGACCCAGACCTGGTGCGCCGCAAGGAGGCAGGGTAACCTGGGGTCGTGATTGTTGTGTGCGTGCGTGTCATTGCCCTCTCATGTTGCATGTGTCCTGCGTGTGGGCATGGGACACTGTACCAACTGCAGTGCTCTTCACCTTTCCCCCTCACAAATACACAGGCCGTGGCCGCCGGCGCTGCCATCTGTGCTGGCATGAGGGACGGGAGCATGGGGGATCTCATGGTGATGGACGTATGGCAGGCGGCCCTCATGCGGGCTTTGGCCGCAAAGAACGTGCTGTAATAGGGCATTGGAAACCTTCATCGGCAGACGTACATCCTGGTGGTCGCTTTTATGTGGGGGTAATTGTGTGCAGGTACCCCTACGCCGAGGAAAGCAGTGCAGTCCACGAGGCTGGGGGAATCGCTGGGTGCGGGTTCAGATCTTTACCGGACAACATATAGATCCGAGGAGCAGATGCTCCAGGGGCGGAACCCAGCCCCACGTGGCATTGCGGGTGGGGTAGGAACCCTTGATATGAGGACTCGCGTTGGCTGCGAGCCCGTTTACAGTGTCACGTGTATGACATAATGGTAGTCACCGGATTGGCGCCGGAGTAGCGCGCATTGGAGTGGGCACCACCCTCCGAGCATGGGCTGTCGCCCGCAGAAGCATTTGGCCCTCCTCCTGCTTCACTTCTGTATATGCCATGGTGCGTCTCCGAGGCGGTCATCGGGGGTTCCAGAGACATATAATGGTGATCTTATATTGAAAGGCGCTCCAAACCCTTCTGCAGCCCTGGTTCAAGACGTTTCCGAAGAGTGCAAGGACCTCGGAGACATCCTTCTGGACGAGCGCTGTGCCCCTCAAATTGGCCTGCTCCTCAGGTTGACCGTTGCAATTGGTCTTACTGCGGTCTCCGGGGCTTGATCTTCATTCACGAGCTCGTGCCGTTGGTTACGCGGTCGCAGCCGTTGTGGGAGCCTCCGGAGCGGCTCCCCTGCACCTGATGTGTCCGGGAAGATACTCTATACAGCGGCTCATGCAAGCAACCTCAACCCCCTTCCCGTCACTCGCAGAGACTTTCCTGTTTCGTCGGATGATCCCACGACCCAGTACCAGATCGAGCAGCTAATATATACCATGGCTGGCGGGCTTCCGTCCTCGGGGTGAGGCTGAGTGGTGTGGGAAGCAGCCCGCCGTCATGGATTTAAACAAGTGGGAATGCACAAGTTCTGCAGCTAGTTGAATGACAAGCCATCTGCTCAATTTACTGCCCTTCTCTTCCCCATACATGCGGCGCAGAAGGTCCTGCTGCAACACCACCGACAGCTTTACTGAAGCGGCTGTTGAATGCCCATGCATTCCCATACTGATCGACGGGGCTCCAGTGCCCAACACCAATCCCAAGGGCCGTTCGACCGTGCTTCTGGCGCTGGAACAGATTTGCAACGTCACCCTTACACCCTGCAATTGATCAGCTTGTGTCTATCTTGAGGCTCCCTGTGAGGGTTTTCCACTCTTCATATCTCATCCACACTCGGCTACCCCCTGTGCCATCCCGATACGGTCTTTCCCTTTGCCCTTCTCCGCTACGACCCACCAGTCGTAAGAATCTTGGAAGCACCACTTCCGGCCCTGTTGACTGAAATTATGTACGTCTTGGAACAAAAGCCCCTTCTCGTCAAGGGGGGAATGTAGGGGTACGAGTCGTATTGCGACACGCTTTGGACGTGGAAAGGCTACGGCGAGTCCCATAAGAGGCTGTTTCCCCCGCTTGGTGTCGGAAATTCTTCCACGTGTGTGATGTGAGAAACCATACTTTGGGAATTCGAGGAACAGAACTCTTCCCCTCGCGAGTCATACAAGGCGGGGCGCCGCAGCCATCGAGAGCCGAGCAATTCCATGATTGGCACAGGGCGTCGAAGCCTCCTGGTGCTCGCGCTGCTGGCCATTGCTGCCGGCGCAAGCCCCGGTGAGTGTTTCCATGACGACGCGGGAGCATTACATGACCCTGGACCCCGTTTAAGGACGCGCTCATGTCTTCCATGCCCTCCGTACTGCAGAGACGGAGCCCAACCCTTGCATCGCGCTGGGCCTGGGCTTGCTCACCGCATGCAATTCGGAGGCGCGGTACCTCGTGCAGTGAGTCTGGGTGGGACTCCTGCATGGGCTAAAGTCGGATTGCCACGAGATCGTGCGGGTTGCTGTGTGGATACGTCGTGGATGGAAACGCCAAGCATGAGCCCCTGACCCACACCGGCCCTGCAGGACCTTTCCATTCAATGCCGTCGATCCCATCACCATGGAGCAACTGGACACCTTGATAGGCAACTCTCCGCCAGGCATACCCACTGACACGTAATGCGGCGATCAGAGGCGGGGGAACGTGCTGCATGCCATCGCTTCACCAATGTGCCTGGGTGCAGAAGTAATTGTCCCCACACACCACCCCAGCAGCAGGCTGGCCCTCCTGCCTACTCTGGGCCATTCTTTGACCCAGCGCTCGCTCCCTCCTCCATGCCAGGTGCTGCAACGCCACCATCACCTTCCTGGAGCCGCCCACGGAGTGCAACTGCGACCCAGGCCTGCTGGACCTCATCCCCACCGCGGGCGTGACCCTGAACGGTCTGGCCGGCATGCTGGAGTTTGTGGGCGCGAGCTGCGGCTCGGAGCCGGTGCAGTGCACGTGAGCCATGCAGGCCGCGCTTTGCCAGCGTCGACGCCCTGCTCCCGAGCCCTGGGGCCGCTGCCTGCCATGGAGGTTGGATGCTGGTGCCCTGCGCATCGGGAGGCTTCCCCCCCCCCCCCCCGCCAAAGGCGGCAGGGCCTCAATTTTGTTTCCGTTGAGACTGTCTTCGTAATCAGAAAGCTCCGAGCGAGCCGCGGCTGGAATCGCCCCCCCTCCCCGGCCCAGAGCCTTTCACCATCACCCCTGCGTCGCTGCGCGTCGTGCCCCACCCTCATGCATGCCATCGACCTGATGTACCAATGCCAACCAGGGTTTGGGGGCGATGGTACAGCATGACAGTCAGGGAGGGGTAAAACTCAGGTGCCGGAGAGGAATAGGTTGGTTTGGTCGAGGCGGCGCCGGCAGCCCAGCGCCGCAGCGACCCCCGGCCAATCACCCGCCGTCGCCAGCGGCGGCCTGCGCACGCAGGATGCGCGCCACGAGGTCGTCCTTCTTCCCGCTGGACGGCAGGGCCCAGGCCTTGAGCAGGGTCTGGAGCTGGCGCAGCGTCCAGGCCTGCAGCGCGAGGCGGCTGAACTTGGCCTCCGAAGGCGATGGCAGCCCCCCGACAGGTGTCACCGTGCTGGGTTGGAAGAGGGGGCTGCCCCCGGCCGCCCTCGAGGCGGAGGGACCGGCGCCTTCCGCCCCCTCGTGGGCCCGCTTGGCGCCCCGGCCAGGCGCGTCGGGCCCGTCGTCCAGCTGGCGCTTGCCCTTGTCAGCTGCGGGTGGACAGGGGGAGCACGCTCATGAGGGGTTCGGCAGGCCCCGCACCGCACCTCCATGCCACAGGGAAGTCACTAGTGCCCCCTGCATGGCCATGCCAGCAGCACCTTTCCCCAGCAGAGCGATGGGTTTGCCGACGCACCTGCTGCCTTCCCTCCCTGCTTCCTCTTCGCCTCCTCCTTTCGACTCTGCAGCGCCCGGACCAGGATGCTGGTGGGATCCGACTTGATCACCTGACTGGCGGGCGGGTCTGTGTCATGGCTAGCGATGTAGGGCGTGGCGGGGGACAGGAAGGTAGGGCCGGGTTTGGTCCGGGTGAAGTGGCCTCTGCGCACAGGGAGTGGGGGTGACGCAGCTGGCTGGAGCCAAGCAGGACAGTGCACATTGTACACACGCACTCTATATCACTGAAGACCTGCATGCAGCTGCGCGCACCGGCTCGGCAGATCTGCGAGGAAACCCGCGACCTGAGACATGTGCCCTGCGACCCTCCCTGAAGCTAGCTTTCTCGCAGAGCAGACGCAGCGGTGATATTTGCCGAGTGACCGAGGATCGGGGGCCAGCTGGTTTGCAGGAAGCAGGGGCGCATGCCGTGCATTCACTGCATTGACCTCTGGCTTAAGAACCCTGTCCCGCTGCTGCGCGTGCGGCCCGAGGAGCTTCCAAATACAAGTGGCGATGGGCATCAGGAAACGATATCCCCTAGTGTCAGGGGGGTCACAAGGACTCCCTTTGCTCGCTCACATTTTGTGGAGTAGGGATCTCACCATCGAGGGCGATGAGTCCTCGCAAGCACAGCAGGCCCCTGAGAATAGCCTTCTGCCACCCAGATCTGGGGCTCGGAGGTGAGATAATCCCGACATGTTTGGAATCGAGACACCCATTGTAAACATGAATGCAATGCGGGCCCTATGGTGCATTTACAGGGGCTGAGAGGCTGATCGTCGATGCGGCGCAAGAGCTGGCCGCCAGAGGGCACAAGGTAAGAGCACAAGGTGCTTGTTCTCCTGGGTTTTGACATGCTGCTCATGCCAAGAGTGCTCGATATGCCAATGGCACATTTGTTGTGCGAGAATGTGCAGGGTTCAAGTCGGGCCAAAGTCTCCATCCGCAGGTAGAGATCAGTACTGCCTACTACGACCCAGCCCGCAGCTTCGAGGAGACCAGGTCTGGCGCATTTGCCATCAAGGTCAGGGGCGGCTGGTTTCCCAGGAGCCTGGGCGGCCGCGCCATTGCGTTGTGCGCCTACATAAGGTGCCTGATCATGGCGGTGTCTCTCTCATGGAGCTGCTGGAGGTGAGGTGTGGGCGGCGTGGTTGGGGCTGGGAATGAATGCCGCTGCAGATTATTCTTGAGGCGAGGGTTCTGCAGCAGCTCTTCCTGCACATGCCAGAAGGAGGGGAAAGGGGTGAAGGGGGCGCTGAATGAACTGGGGCTCACAGATGGGCTCTGCGCGGCATGCCCTGTTGAGTTCCTATCCTCTATTGGGGACCACTCCTCCCCTCCAAACCCAACCCATCCCCTTTACTTCACGGATTCCCTGCAGAGCGGCCTCCCGGCCAGACGTCGTGATCGTGGACCAGGTGTCCGTGGCGATCCCTCTCCTGTGCTGGCTCCTGCGCCGCCCCGTCCTTTTCTACTGCCACTTCCCCGATCTGCTCCTGGCCGCTCCAACCACCCGTCTGCACCGCTTCTATCGGGCCCCCCTGGACTGGCTGGAGCAGGCGACCACAGGCACTGCCGACCTGGTCGTGGTGAACAGCAGATTCACCCAAGGTGGGTACCAGGAAAGGGGGCTTTAAAATTTTGGGCGAAAGCAGGCTTCGGAACATTTTTCAGGTGCGGACATTGGTGGCTCTCCCCGGCGTGTGCCGTGGCAGTTGCTGCTCCTTTCCCACTTGCGATGGCAGTATAATGAGGCAGCCAGGGCCATTGTGTACCATGATCGACGCTGCTCCAGCCTATCCCACTCGCCTCCTTCCCCCTCGACGTCCATGGAACTCGGACTCGCCTTCGCCAGGCATCTTTGCGCGCACCTTCAGGCGGCTGCACGGGCGAGGCCTCGTCCCCGACGTGCTCTACCCCGCGGTGGTGGTACCATCTGATGCGCAGCTGGCGGCGGCGCGGGCGGGGTGCAAGCGGACGCTGCCCCCCGACCTGGCCCGCTTCATCGAGTCCAGGGACGCTGTCTTCCTGTCCATCAACCGCTTCGAGCGAAAAAAGGTTTGACGAGGGGGTCCCGGGGGGGTGGCCGGGGGACAAGGGTGGGCGGGAAGTGGGCGCGCGATTTGCAGCGGCAGTGGACCTGGGCTTCCTTGCGCCCAGTGGGCTTGCTCGTGCGGAATGGCGAGCGCATGCACTACCTCGCCGCCCGAAAGAGCGCCAAGCGCCCCCATCCCCCACCCCTGCCGCCACCCTGCCCCCTTTTTGCAACCAACCCCTCCCCACCCACCCATCAGAACGTGGGCCTGGCCATCCGCGCCCTGGCGGCGGCTCAGGCCCAGGCTTCGCATCAAGGAGCTTCGGCTGCGAATCCCTTGCTGGGTTTGGTTATCGCGGGAGGCCACGACGCGCGGCTGCGGGAGAACGTGGAGCACCTGGCGGAGCTGCGGGCGCTGGCGGCGGAGCTGGGTGTGGCAGGGGCCGTGGCATTCCTCCCCTCCTTCACCGACGCGCAGCGCGCGGCGCTGCTGGCCTCCGCGCGCGCGGTGCTCTACACCCCCACTGACGAGCACCTGGGCATCGTGCCGCTCGAGGCGGCGGCGGCGGGGCGGGCGGTGCTGGCCTGCGCCAGCGGGGGGCCACTGGAGACGGTGGTCGAGAGCGAGACGGGGCTGCTCCGCGACCCGCGGCCCGAGGTGTGGGCCGACGCGCTGCGCGCGCTGTGCGTGCCCGGCGCGGCGGAGCGCATGGGCGCGGCGGCGCGGCGGCGCGCCGCGCTGCGCTTCTCCCGCGCCGCCTTCGGCGAGCGCCTGGAAGGCCTGGTGGCCCGGCTGGCCGCCCACGAGGGCGCAGCGAGCGGGGGCGGGGGGCGGTGGCGCCAAGACGCAGTGACATGGGACATGCTGCCGCGCGAGGCGCGCGATCAGGAACATCGACCAGCAGAGTGACAGGCATTCGCGTCGTGATTATAATGGTCACATCCGAGTTTGTGAGACAGTCCTCATCACATGGAGCCGGTTGCTGACAGAATGGCCTGCCAGAGAGCGTTTGCCGCCAAAGGCTCCCGAGTTCCTGCACCACCACCCCACTGTCCTGCTCCCCTGAAATGGGTCTTTCCCCTGTCCTCGATCCCTGCGCCCGGCCCATCCTCCTGTCGAATCCCACCACTCCCCCCTGGCTGTGTGTCAAAGGGCATGCTTAAAGCATGGTGGGCGGCATGTATCGGAGCATTCCCCCAGGCACACTAGATCTCGGTCTGCTCGCGCAGGCGACGGATGGTCGATCGCACGGTGACGGAGGCAGCAGTGCTGTGGGGGGGGGGTGGGGACATGCAGGTTAGAATACTGAAGAGAGCTGCGGAGAGCAGGCAGACCCTGTGCACCGGACTGTTCCTGCAACATCCTCACACTCGCACACCAGCACCCCCCTCCAAACCCACTCCATCCTAGGCTCACTTCAGGACGTACGCTCCACCAGCCTGGACCTGCTTGCAGGCCTTGCACTCCCAGATGCCGACGGCGACGCGCTTCACGGAGAACTGTGCGGGCGTGTGGAAATGAGACGGGGTCACATGCCGATGGCCTCGGTCATCACCACCCCAGAATCACGACAGGGACGGGTGCAAGCAGGGGGGGACTCCAGCTGGTCCTCACCTTGCCGCAGAAGGAGCAGAAGTACTTGGAGTGCTGTGACACCTCAATCTTCTTGATCTGCTTACGCAGACTGGCCCCGTACCGGGTGCCGTACTTGCCGACAATGCCGACCTTCTTCGTGCGCTTGGCCTGCAGGTTCGAAGGGAGGGGGCGGGTCAGGTCCACACTTCACACCGTCCGACTCCAGAAGACGGGGGATAGCGGGACTCCGCCATGTTCCGCCGCGACTCCGCCTGGCCACGCCAGGCATCGCCCTGACGGCTGCCCAGCGCCAATCCTCCTGGACCCCATCCAGCACTTTCCGAGCCCCGGCTCACCATCTTGACGCTCCTTCCGTGGGGTAAAGAGGGCGAGGAGGGCGGAACAGCGCTGGGTAGTAGCACACCGCCCCCGCCTTATAACATTGGGACAAGGCGATGCTGCGCATGCTGGGTCGTCACAATTCCGATAACCCTGCGCCTTCACTGTGGTGAATGCACGGACCACACCCCAACGAACGCGAATCGAGGTGCTTCTTACTGCAGGGAAGGCAGCATGGCTGGTATCATGTCAAGGTGTGCGAGTCTGGGAGCCTGCTGGGGGAGAAGGCGTACTCGTGAGGTTCTTGGCCAGCGACTCACATCCACAATCTCACTCCTGTGCAGTTTTATGGGCGGGACGGCCCTCCTATCTTCCTCGACCATATCAGACAGGCATTGTTTCCGATCCACAGGAGCGTGCCCTCGGCCGCAGCGCCAGCTATGCCAAGTGGGTCTGGGTGTCGGGTATGAATGCAGGGGCCGGCTGGATGCTTGGGTCCTAGACGCATGCGCCCCTGCTAAACCGCTGAGTACAACGCAATACACCACCCTCTGCAGCCACGAGCGGCCCTCAGTAGGAAAGGCAAGGAGCAAACGCTGCAGAAGCTGGTTCCCCTGCTGGAGAAGAGCTCTGTGATAGTCGGACTCCGATACAAGGGGCTCACGGTGAGGAGAACCTTGCATGACTCAGCGCGTGGGCATCGTTTAAGCCCATGAGGTTGTGGAATTTCCCCAATGTTGTTCCCAGCGTGGTTGTGCAATCATGGAAACTATTGTCCATCCATATAGGTGAAACAGCTGCAGGAGTTCAGGGCTGGTCTCCCAGAGGGCTCCAAGCTCATGGTTTGCAAGAACACACTCGTGTCAGTCGCGGCCAAGCAGGTCTCTGGCTGGGACGGTCTCACTCCCATTGCAAAGGTAGGTGCCGGGTGCTGGTGAGGTGGACTCCGCTGCCCTCTGTGCCTTTCTGCCTGGAGATGCGACAGTGGTGCTCTCATCCTGAGGCATTCTCTTCTGGACAGACCTCAGAGCAGCATGCCCTGCTTGCTGCCTGTCAGTGAGATGCACTTCCTGTGACTCGACATGCACTGTCTCCTACTCACCAACCACAGGGCGACAACGCCTGGTTCTTCATGGAGGAAGAGACCATTTCTCAGGCAGTCAAGGCATATATCGACTTTGAGAAGAAGCTAAAGGAGGCGCTGCCCCGTGAGGTCAGGAAGGAGGCCCGGCCCATCGACGTCTCGGGTGAGGTGGGGTGCCATGTCTGATTCCGGCTCAGTCGCCTTTCCGATGCACTTCACTCTCCTCGCCCTGACCACTTGCGCCCTGAACTCGTCCACGCGGTCTAC